AGTTGATTTGTACTCAGGTGAAGGAAATGTCTTCAAAATGAACATGAACACACCAAGGGCCAACTGTAGAGTCTCGTGCAGAATTGCTTCTAGTTAGACCAGCCAACTAATGGTGATAGTTATCCAGAAGAGTGAGGGCAAAGTAAAGAGAATAAATGCATGCATGTATATTACTTGCTGGAAGAAACCATATTAGAGATAAGGGTAAGAAGGTAGAAGGATCATTTAGTTATAGTACTGATTCAAGTTGTCTAATCAGATCATCCATTTTAGGATTTTAGAGCTTCCAAGGTATGCAGGCTTTGAAGGTCAAGAGATCACAGTTTGACACCTGGCTCTGCCATATAAACTCTTTTTGATTCTTGATGCTGGCCAAAGCAATCTCTCTAACACTAAATTACTTCAACTAGGTCATGGGAATAATATGAATACATTCTTTCCCTTTGGGTGTTCAGTGAGTTAATGATAAAGTTTCTAGCATACACGTATGTTTGAAATGTTATTTTTTTTAAAAATTAGAAACACTGTCCTGATTCTCTGTCGGCTTTCAGATTAAATGCAAGCCTCAAAAACATGACTTTCAGCTGTTTTAAGAATGATGCTACAGTTTTGTTGTTGTTCTTCCTCTAATGTTTTAGTAAATCTTAGACAAGATGTAGACAAGTAAAGAGCAAAGTTATCTTAGAGTAGCATTGAAAAACCAAATACCTACAAGGGGCAGGAAGGCAATATAAATGAATGAAGTGGCCCTGGTGCAGAATGTGGCCAAGTGGGGACTGGGTTCCCTGTCTTTTTTTTTTTTTTTTTAAAGATTTTATTTATTTATTTGTCAGAGAGAGAGAGGGAGAGAGAGCAAGCACAGGCAGACAGAATGGCAGGCAGAGGGAGAAGCAGGCTCCCTGATGAGCAAGGAGCCCAATGTGGGACTCGATCCCAGGACGCTGCCGATCATGACCTGAGCCGAAGGCAGCTGCTCAACCAACTGAGCCACCCAGGCGCCCCTGGGTTCCCCGTCTTAAAAGAACTGACCATGGTGCAGCTGCAGCGAGCTTTGCTGTGCAGGAAAGCAGGTTCATTGTTAACAGATTTAATTTTTTTTTCAAAGATTTATTAGAATTTTAAAAATATCTCTCATTTTAAATAAAATTGGGAACTAATTGAAATAATTAAATACTGGGAAGCAAAAGATGTGTGGGGAAGGGAGGTGTGCATATGAGTGCTAGTGCGTGTGTTTGTAATCACAGGGATAGTGTACTGTGAGCTGTGGAGTACATGGGGAAGATAACATACTACATAAATGCAAAGTACCTGAAGAGATCCAAAGTCAAGACAGACCAGAGGGAACTGGGGAGCCATTTGTAGTTCAGAAGTCCTGGGTGCACTGAAGTCAGAGAAGGGGATGTGGGAAAAGGAAGCTAGAGGGGTAAGTGGAGGCCAGATCTTTCATACTGTATCATCTGTGCCACGGAATTTGAACTTGATCCCGAGGATAATCAGTAATCTCTAAAGAGCATTAGATAGGAATGGCAGAATCCAATTTTCAAATTCAGTTTATCTTTCTGATTGTAAAGTGGTGAATGGATGAGAAGCGTAATCAGTTGGAAGGCTGTGGAAAGGAATCACATTGAGGTAAGGACCATGGATCTTGGTGCACAAAGAAGCAGATGGTACTGTATGTTAACAATACTGGAATAAAAAAGGAGAAGGAGGAGGACAAGGAGGAGGGAATGGGGAAGGAGGAGGAGAAGGAAAAAGGAGGAAGAAGAAGGAGAAGGAGAAGAAGGAAAAGGAGAAGAAGGAGAAGCAGCAGCCAGAGATATCTGGAAGAGCAAATGCACAGGAGCTGGGGTTGGGGGAAAGGACTGAGTGAGGAGGGGGAGGGAAGATTGCAGCTACATCTCTGCAGAGTACTCAAGGTTCAGAGAACATTCACGCCTGCAACAAAACTCTACACATAGTGGGCAATGCCAGAAAACGGACAGCACCAACAACTTGCCTGGGTGTGAGTGTGGGGGAGGGGCATCTTTCTGGAATTATTCTATTCTTAGTCTACCTATTACTTCTACCTAAAGAAAAAGGAAACTGACCTCTAGTTCTTATCCTCTGTAAGGAATGAAAAACAGGTGAAAATGGAAATTTAGCTCATTTCACAATTTAGTTCATAGTTCTTTCTGTCATGCATTTTGTCAGCATCTCAGAGTGAAACGGTCCTCTTGCTTTGGATCACTCTCGCTGTACTCTACCTCTCAAACCTCAAGGAGTGCATTTCTGCCAGAGAAACCACCCCAGCCACTTTTGTCTCCATTTATAAACTTGTTGACTAAGTCACACACAAGAAAATGTGCAATAGATCTTGCATTCTCCACCTCTGCTAGAAGAAAAATGCCACTAACAAGATATATGAAGAGTTATTCAAATCTACCTCAGGGAGTGACTGCAAAATAAGGGAAAAAAACAAGACAGAACATTTGACTACATAAATCCTCCTTTCTTTATTCTGCATGATCTCTGGGAAAGAAATAATGAACCTTCCTTTATGATCTACTTGTATTTATAATTGATTTATCTTGTGGTTAAAAGGAGATTTAGTCACTAAAATTAGGACAGACAGGAGAAAGCAATTTGGGTTTGACCTCCTGGCCTCTTTGAGTATCACTTATCAGACCTGAAAATACAATAGAGTTTCAACATTATTTCAGAATAAAAGAGTAGATTAATCCTTTTGGAGTGTTAAATCGGTCTGTGGATGTAGCCAGTGACTGGCATACACATATTTATGTGTCTGTAGACCTGGTGTGATTCGGGAAGTTGCAATACTCCCTCATCCCCATTCTATACTCCCATTAAACCATTTCCAATGATTTTCTTGTCCACCTGGCCACACTGACTGATGCTGGGAATGTTTAGGTTACCTAACTCACTTCTTTAACTTACTGCTTTGTTTCTTGTTTAACATCTATATTCCTGGTCTGAGATGACACATTTGGAATTCCCATCTGTATCCACCTTGGTGGGAATATATATATATGTATGTATGTGTATGTATAATATGTATGTATAATATATATATATATATGTATGCATGTGTATATATATATATATATACACATATACATACATACACACACACACACACACACACACACACACACATATATATATATATGATTTTATTTATTTGACAGGCAGAGATCACAAGTAGGTAGAGAGGTGGGCAGAAAGAGAGAGGGGGAAGCAGGCTCCCCGCTGAGCAGAGAGCCCAATGTGGGGCTCCATCCCAGGATCCTGGGATCATGACCTGAGCTGAAGGCAGAGGCTTTAACCCACTGAGCCACTCAGGTGCCCCGGTGGAAATATATTTTTATCTGGTCATTTGATAGTCTAAGTTTTAATAGAGTTGTAGGGCTAGAAACAAATGAGGCCCAGAGAGGAGAGATACAGATAATAAGAGACAAGTCCATCCTGCCCCTGTTGTTTTTGTCCCTGTTAGTACAATTTGTAGACCTTGAAGCCCTGAAGGTTCCCTCCATTTATTTGTGTGTGTGGACTTGAGGCTTCACTGTTGAATCTAGACTAGAAATGGTGTCTTTAAAGGCAGGATTGACCTATGTCTTCTCTGGGATCTCCCATAATTCTGGGCGTCAAACAAATACCCCAAATGGGATTTAGCTTTATTTCTTGGCTTTTGTCTCTCAGTGAACGTTTTTCTGATATCAGAGGTTTAGGCTAGTAGAGTCCTGGATTTGCAATGGTAACAAAATCCTCTGTCACTTTCAATCTACTCCATTCTTGAATAATTTGCAACAAGCATTGTGAATCTCTCTGAAAACTTCAAGATGTGCCTGCAGCAGAAAGTTGGGTTAGAATCCTGTTCTGTAATCAGAAGAACAATTTTGGCTTCCAAATAACAATTTGGAGGTAAGTGCTAGGATCTCTCTCTCTCTCTATATATATATATGTATATGTATATACATGTGTATGTACATATGTAAACAATCTACTTGTTTGAGACATTGTTAAGGGCTCAGAAGAGGGCACAACAAAGAGTGATGATTGAGTATGTACTGCATTCCATGATCTTCACTAAGCTTTACTGTAAATACACTAAACAAACTTATTCTTATTTTACAGATCAAGTAGCTAAGGCTGAGGTGATCAGTTGTCAACATGGCTAATCAGCTAGTGACATGGAGTAGGACTCTATGTCTGTGTGTCCTAAAGCCCACCCTCCTTCCAGTGCTTGCATTACACTTCATGAGCAATGCAAAGTTTGTTGCAAGTTTTCTAAACTGGTGTGCGTAAGAGCTTACTTCTAATTCTGTTAGAAGGGACAATCTCGTTTGAGCATTCTACTTCAGACAAAAGTCTGCTATAGACTATATGATGACACATTTTATTTCATTTGCAAGGAAGATTGTGATCTGAAATTTCTGTCTTAAACATGTAAAGTATAGGATTCCACATGAAGTATAACCCTTCCTCCCTCCCTCCCTTCCTTCCTTTCTTCCTTCTCTTCTTTCCTTCCTTCCTTGTTTCCTTCCTTCCTTCCTTCCTTCTTTCCTTCCTTCCTTCTTAAAGATTTATTTATTTATTTGAGAGAGAGAGCAGGTGGAGGGACAGAGGGAGAGGATTCTCAAGCAGACTTCCCACTAAGTGTGGAGCCGGACACAGGGCTCAACCCCAGGACCCTGAGATCACGACCTGAGTGGAAACCAGGAGTCAGACACTCAACAACTTAGATTCCTGGGCACCCCATTGTTGTTTTTGTTGTTGTTGTTTTGGAGTTAGGGGTGAGGAGGTTCCCAGCCTGGAAAGACATGCATTTTGCACATGCTGTTTGAATTCCTAATTCTCACTGGAAACTGTAATGGAAAAGTTTAACACAGCATGACAATAGAACAATGCTTAACTGTTACCAATGTCAATATTAAACCTAAAACAATTGAACTGTATGATATCTTACCTTTTTCTTTTTTTCCCTTTTATTTTTCACTGCTCAGGGGGAACATCATCCAGACAGAAAGGCTTTCTAGGATGCATACGCTCCTTACACTTGAATGGGCAGAAACTGGACCTGGAGGAGAGGGCAAAGGTCACATCTGGAGTCCGGCCTGGATGCCCCGGTCATTGCAGCACTTATGGTAGCATCTGCCACAATGGGGGCAAGTGTGTGGAGAAGTACAGTGGGTACTTCTGCGATTGCACCAGTTCACCATATGAAGGGCCCTTCTGCAAAAAAGGTACAGTCAACTCCCCTGTGCTGTATTGCTGTACCTGTAAGCCATGGTCAAGTCATGCCCTTAGATAGTCCTTAAGTGATCATTTACCTTCTTCAGTTTTGCTCTGTTTAAAGACTCTGTGTAACCCCTCAACATAATTACATATAGACATATGTAATTGTCCGGCAGTGCCACTGAACTGATTGGGTAGTAACAGTGTAACATACTCTCCTTGGCTGAGGGGTCAGCTGAACACTGGGAGAGGTGGACTTTCATTTCTGTTGTATCACCCCAATCTCGAGGGACGCATTAGTCTTTCCAGTTCCAATTCCTTAGCCCATGCATGTAAGCCAGCATTATAGATTCTATCCCTGGAAGAGTCTCAGGGATGCTTTGAGTCATCTCAAAGTATTCTTACAATAGGAAACTTATAGATAAGTCAGTAGAAATAATACCATGCATCTAGTAAAATCTCCCTATGCTGCCGGTGATATGAGTGGAGTCTGAAGCTTTAAAAGCCCTGCTTGGCAATGCTCATTTAGTTCATTGGGGGCTAGGAATGGAACACAGGATCAAAATTCCTGCCCCAGTGTCTTTCTACAGCCTTTCTTATGTTATGAACTTATTGCATTGGTAAAACTAACCATGATGGATGTATGCCTTGAACAAGGAATGGTAGTTATGGTGTAAATCCTCTAAAAAAAAATCAAGATAACTCTACAAACTATAAAATTTCCTTATTTAGTATAAACACTTAGTATTTTTTCAAATACAAGGGCAAAAAGATCAGGTCTCTAGTCATCTTTGCAGGATTTTAAAGTTTATTTTATTGACGGAGGGGAAAAAATGTTTGTTGAGCAAATAATGTAAACAATATTTCAAGAGCAGCATTTAAACTATTAAAATAAAATGTTTTAATTACTTTGAAACACCATTTACATGCAAACAATGATGGCAATTATACATAATTCTTGTCAGTTCATTAAAACACATTTCCCAAACACCTCTCCCAAACAATGCTTTATTTAGTCCAATTTACTGTTGGAACTTAAGAACAATAGACGAAAGAAGAGCACCTAGTGTTCTCATTGAAGGACTCTGTAATTTGAGCTCTTCATCATTTACACTGGCTTTCCTCCATAGTTAGATTGAATTACTTGCTTATTATTGTTGAGAATCATTGTACTCCTTGGGAGAAAATTAATGGTATAAATGTTAAGACCAACAATGTGTTTGGCCCTGCATGAACTTGACATAAAGTGGCCCCATCCCAGTAAGTGCTGACCATGGGCTAAGAGACTTAGCTGCTGGATTTTCCTACTGGGGAAGGTGTCTGAATTACCACCCCTAAAAAAAATTTTAAATTCTATCCTTAGTCTGGTTTTACACGGTTAGAAGAAGCAAATACAGAACAAACACTATCAGGCCTGCTCACAAAGGTATACTAGCATTGTTCTACAGGATCTACAGGAAATACTACAGGAAATAGTACACTTTATGTAGTAAAGAAAATAATCCTCATTAAGTTCCAAGCCCTATGTGTAGAAACAAAACAAAACAAAAATTCAGTGGGATTCTACATTTCTCCGGAGACATTGCTCAAACATCTCATAGATCATATTCTAAATTTAGCCTATTTTTTTTTAAATGTAGCCTAATTTTAAATTAGCTTTTTTTTTTTCCCTGAAACAACTCAGATTATCTTCTGTCCATACCATCCTATCTTTTGGCAGCATATGTTGAAATAGCCTCTGTGCTCTCTCCCCACTTTTCCTTACTTCGATCCATAAGCAAAATATACAAATATGTGCTTAGCTTTTTCAGCTTGCTTCATATTTCACAGTTCCACACTTTCTTCCCTTTCTCATAAATCTAAGGAAATGATTCCCTTTATATTCAGTAGCTGCAAAGTATGTGGGATGAATCTTCTAACCAAGTCTTTTAGCCATGCCATTTGCCTGGGGGAACTGGAATGGAAATCAGAGCCACTAATTTCTAGTGGCTAGGAGGTTGTCCTAAACAAGGGCACTCTCCATTGAGGTAGTCTTCCATGTTTACTTCCCAGGGCATATATATTTTAAGGAGTGTAAATACTAGAAATATATGGGGTGGAATTACCAATGCCTGGGCCAGAACTATGATCCATTGACCTACTTTCTGTTTCTGATTATAATACAAAGTAATAATAATTATGCAGTTAGCTAGTAATTATTGACTGCAACATACATTCCTTATGGCCAACCTAGTATGGAAGATATTAACATATTGAGAACATTGATGTTCACAGAGGTTGAGTGACTTGGTAATAATTGCCAGGGCTGGAGACCCATCCAGCATCTTTTTGGTTTCTTTTTTCTCTTTAAAACCCTAATTTCATTCAGTATAGGAATATGGTAATAGGATTCAAAAATGTTTGTTTGTTGGTTGGTTTTATGTTTTGCATATGTCTCTTTTTTCTTGTCATTGAGGTGTAATTTTCATACCCTAAAATCCATTCTTTTAAATTATATAATGCTGTGACTTTTAGCATATTCACAAAGTTGCACAACCATCACTATTATCTAATTTCAGAACATTTTCATCACCCTAAAAAGGAACCTTATACACATTAGTAGCTACCCTTCTTTCACCTCTCCCCTCAGTCCCTGGAAACAACTGATTTACTTTCTGTCACTCTGGATTTACCTATTCTGGGTATTTCATGCTAATGGACTCATACACTATGTGGCCTTTTAGTGTCTAGTTTCTTTCACTTAGCATAATGTTTCCAAGGTTTATCTGTGTTGTGGCACTTTTCAGTATTTTATTCCTTTTTTATTTCCAAAGAGTATTTTATTCCATTATGTGAATGCCACACATTTTGTTTATCCATTCATCAGTTGATGGACATTGTGATGTTTCCATTTCTTTGGCTATTATAAATAATGCTGCAGTTAACGTCCAGGTACATATTGTGTGGATTAATGTTTTTCTGTTCTCTCGGGTATATACCTAGAAGTGGGATTACTTGGGTCATATGGTAACTAAATATTTAACTTTTTGAGGATACTGGCAAACTGTTTTTGAAGGGGCTTCTCCATTTTATATTCTTACCAGGAAAGTCTAAAGATTCCAATTTCTCCACATCCTCACCAATGCTTGTTATTATCCACCCTTTTGATAAGAGACATCTTACTGTGACTGTGTGAAGTTGTATCTTATTGTGATTTTGACTTGCATTTCACTAATGGCTGATAATATTAGACATCTTTTCATGTTCTTATTGACTGTTTCTATACCTTCTTAAGCGAAATGTTTATTTAAAGTTTTTGCCAACTTTTGATTGGGTTATTTTTCTTTTTATTATTTAGTTGTAGGAATTCTTTGCATGTTTTGAATATAATTCTCACATTAGATATATGCTTTGCACCTATTTTCTCCCCTTTTCATTTTCTTGAGAGTATCTTGTGAAGCACAAAGTTTTTAATTCTTATAACATCTGGTTCTTATTGTTTTATTTTTGTTGCTTGTGCTTTTGATATTTTTAAAAAATATTTTATTTATTTACTTGACAGAGAGAGTGTGATCACAAGCAGGCAGAGCAGCAGGGAGAGAGAGAGGTGGGAGCAGGCTCCCCATTGAGTAGAGAGCCCAATGTGGGGCTCAACCCCAGGACCCTGAGACCATGACCTGAGCTGAAGGCAGAGGCTTAACCCACTGAGCCACCCAGGCACCCCTGTGCTTTTGGTATTATGTCTAACAAATCATTGCCTCACTGAAGGCCATGAAGGCTTATGTCCATGGTTTCTTCTAAGAGTTTTATAGCTTTGCTTTTACATTTAGTCTTTGATCCACTTTGAGTTCATTTTTGTAGGTGTGAGGTAGGGATTCAGCTTTATTCTTTTGCCTATGGATATCCAGCTATTCTAACACCATTTAATAATGCAGACTTTTCTTTGGCCCACCTCCACCTGCTCCCCCCCCTTATATGAAGAATCTGGGTATGACTGTCATAGTGATGTCATTTATTATTTTTTTCTAATTAAAGTTAGTGTATTTGGAATTTTATTTGGAAATATATTTTGGAATCTAGAAAAAAAAATCTAATCACTCAAATACAAACATTAAAAAGAAAATCTGATTTCCTTCTAGCTCTTTTCTTTGCATTTAATATAACTACAATAATTCTGTATTTCATATCTACATTTTATATCAAATTTTGTTTGTTTCATTTTATAGACATTTCTATATAATTTGTCAGTTTTAATGATAGAAATGTATTTCAACTGGTGGGATTGCCTCTGCTTACTTCAACACTTCAACCATTCTATCCCCAGAACAGTTTAGCTTAGTAGTGGTGGCATCATTCTGCACTTGATCTGCCTAAATTCAGATTCTGGCTCATCTACAGTCTACACTGTGTGCTGCTACTTGTGAAACTGACCTCCCAATTTCTTGGTTTTCTCATCTATAAGATTAGAATATTCAAAAATCCATCAGAGGGTTGTGATGAACATTTAATGAGCATTTCACAAAGCACTTGGGATAATGCCTGGCAAATAAGGCCTTACTAAGTGCTTGCTTTTATAATTGTTTTAGAATTTTATTATTTTTATTTGTTTATTTTTTAAGATTTTATTAATTTATTTGAGAGAGAGATAGAGAGAGAGAGAGAGCTAGAGACAAAGAGAGGGAGCATGAGCAGGGGGATGGGCAGAAGGAGAGGAAGAAGCAAACTCCCTGTTGAGCAGAGAGCCCAACATAGGGCTGGATCCCAGGACTGAGCTGAAGGCATATGCTTAGCCAACTGAGCCACCCAGGCACCCCTGTTTGGAAGTTTACATTACCCCAACTTTTATGCATAAATAATGCTGTGATAAACACATGTATTATTTTCTTGCTAATGGAATTTCAGTGAAAAAACAGCATGTATGTTTAAGTATGCTTTATCAGTTGCCCAAAACCTGTTGAAAGTTCTTTAATATTTACCTTCCTGCCAATGGATTTCACTAAAAACAACAAACAAAACAAAAACGAACAAATAATTCTCGGTAATAATAGGGAGAAGGTTTCAGAACCCTCATGCATCCATTATTTAGCTTCAAAAATGATCAACTCACGACCAATCTGATTCCATCTATATAATCACATCCTCTTCTCTCCCTTTATTATTTTGGAGTAAACTTCAAATATCACATCGTTCATCTATAAAGGTTACAATATATATTGCTAAAAAGATTAGAGCTTATTAATAACACAGATCCACAAGACCAATCATAAGAAAAATGAATGTCTAATATTACGAAATATCCACTCAGCATTCAAATTGCCAATTGTTTCATTTATTTTTAGTTTGATGTTCTGCTATATTAATTACAACTTCACCGATTTCTAGGTAATCACTGGCCTACTCATTACCTTTATGCTTGTTCTAATTCTAAATTGTATCACTTTTTGTCAGACCAGCTATTGTCCATTGAGTTCCTACTATGTGTTGTGTTTCTCCATAATGTCTTCCAGTCCTTCTACCTGCAAGATTGAATCCATCCCTACTTGTACATGAGCTGAGTTTGAGTGGGATCCTGCGAGAGCATTAGAGAAGAGGCACAGCCAAGTGTCAGTTCCCATCTGTTAGACTCCACAGCTAGCTCAGAGATCTCTTCAGTGCCACATTGTTTCCTAACTGTTTCTCTTAGTTCATCTCACACTTTACTCCTGGTCAGTGCAGAGTTGCCCTTTCAGGTCTGGTCAAGTTACTATGGCCACAGAGACTTCCAGCTCTAGGAATCATTGTCTATATTGCACACATCACACTGTAGGCTACCTTCCATTGTGTTTTGTTTTGTTTTGTTTGATAAGTGTCCTTTCTTCTCAGAACATAATCAGCATAATTCTTTCCACCAGTTAAGTGCTCAGTAGACATTGCTGATATTGGTTCCATGGCATGATGATCATAGGTGATCTCATCCAAGTTAAGATCTTTCTTCTAATGAGCCCAGAGGTTTTGTGTATTCAGACAAATCACTCAGCTTAAATATGGTCAGGGAGCTTAAACTCTTAGATTATAAAATATAAGATACTTAGAGAATAATAGAATCCAGGTGTTTTGGTGACGAAGCTTTATGTTAAAATCAATGGTATCTAAATATTAAAAATTAAAATCATTAAGTATTAAGAATAATTAGAGCTGGGGTTAGGAGAGAAAGGAAGACAGAAATTTGGTAGGGCTGCTCTAGTTTAAAAGTGCTTCACGTTTTAGTTTCCTGCCCTGAGAATTAAGAAAAAAATGTAATATATATGCCCATATCTAATATGCTATTCATAACAGAATGCTCTGAATTACAGTTACATTTGAACACACTCACAACATCAAATAAAAGCCATTATTCTGTTAACTAGGAGATAGTAGCTCAAAATGCAGGGCAAATGTCTCTGAGGAAATTCACTCAAGGAAAGTGCTTGAATCAAGCTGATGATTAACTGGAATCCTCACTGTCACAAGTCTCTGCTGCATATCTTTGTAATCAGGAGTACTAATGTTGTAAACCGAATGATAAATGCAAAACACATTCTCTGAAACTTTAGTCAAAATGAACTGGTATTCCCAATCTGCTAAGCAATATGCATAAATATGCAACTTTATTTTTTTTTGGCACTCTTACAGGCTGTTATAGAATTTTCACAAAGGTAGAACAAATTTGCAATAGAATTAGGAAAAGAAAGCCAGGTTTGATTATGTTCTAGGTGCCACCAACTCAATCAGGGAATTTCATGGGGGATTAGGAAAATTCCACACATCATACAGGAAAAAGAGAAATCAATCATGGCAATATGGGTTCATGTTCATTGTGTTATTTTTTTTTTTTAATTTATTTATTTGACAGAGAGATCACAAGTAGGCAGAGAGGCAGGCAGAGAGAGAGGAAGGGAAGCAGGCTCCCCGCTGTGCAGAGAGCCCGATGCGGGGCTCGATCCCAGGACCCTGGGATCATGGCCTGAGCCGAAGGCAGCGGCCCAACCCACTGAGCCACCCAGGCACCCCTCATTGTGTTATCTTTATAGTAGGGATTGTTGCTAGATGCGAGCTATGTTGTCCTGTGAAGGAAACTTTCCTCCATGCCCTGATACTATATTACCGTATAGAGATAAAATTGTAGGAGAATGTAAGAGCAACCTGGATGGAAACAAACAAACAAAAAAAGAATATCTCAGCATTTGGATGGATTTGGAGTCAAAAAACAGATACAATCTATAAAGGAAATTGCGATGGGTTCAGGTTAAAGTCTCTTCTAATATGGAGAGCTTACAAGATTCAACTATAGTGCCTATCTCTCATAAGTGTTCTATGCACATTATCTCATTTAGGCACCCAGAAATACTGTTGAAGTGTTAATGTTTCCCATTCACCAGATGACAAAACAGACTCCACAGGGTGCACTAACTTACCTGGGACTACACAGCTAGTGTGATATTGAATGAGCTTTCAGATCCAGAACAGAAGCCAAATCCTGTGCTAGTTCCACCAAACTAAAAGAATAAGAGTTGGAGTGAGCACATGATACAAGGAAGGTGGGTGATTTGCACATTCCAGCTAACTGACAGTCATTAGTTTGTAGATGCTGCCTTTCTCCGTGGTGGTGGCAGAACTCCATTCAATGTTATGCTATAAGACTTGCATCCCATTTGTTCAAGTCATTGCTCTCTTTGGAAATGACTACCAATTCCTCGAAATTAAAAAAAAAAAAAAAAAAGGAGTCGGGCGGTTAGATACTTAACGCCTTATTCTATGAGTTCCACAGATTCTCTCTCTTCTGTGTCCACAGATCCTTACATTTTACCCAATGCCACAGAGAATTACCACTGCCTCCCCCAATGTCCTATTCTCAGTAACTTAGAATCCACTTGCAATCCTCCTAACACACCAGAAAAGCACAAGCTGGAACTGTTAAAATCTCAGTTTTGAAACTATGAAAGTCCCAGGAAAATTTATCTCTACTGTGCTGGTGGCAGGGACGGTTTATCTTTGCTTCTTGAGAAATCAGCCCAGCACACAGTGGTTGTACTGCAAATGAATGTTAAACTGGAACTAGACTTCAGGATGCAAATCTCAGCCCTCCTATTTTAGCTATGCAACCTTGTTCAAGGTGCTTAACCTCTGCAAGCTTCATGTTTCTCATTTGTAAATAAGAGTAACGACTTCTGTGACTTCAGACTTATTGTGGAAAGCGTATTATATAATTCAGGTAAAAACCGTCATGCTGTGCTTGATGCATAGCAAACCATAAATAGTTATTGCTGTCCTGAATAATCAACTAAATGTTGCAATGTGTGCATTCCCCTCTTCTATTTTTCAGAGGTTTCTGCTGTTTTTGAGGCTGGCACTTCTGTTATGTATATGTTTCAAGAACCCTACCCAGTGACCAAAAATATAAGCCTCTCATCCTCAGCAATTTACGCAGATGCGGCTCCATCCAAGGAAAATATTGCATTTAGCTTTGTGACAGCCCAAGCGCCCAGCCTCTTGCTCTACATCAATTCTTCTTCTCAGGATTACCTGGCTGTCCTGCTCTGCAAGAATGGTGAGTACTGACAGCATGAAGCCTGAAGGAGTGTCACAGTGGGCGAGAGGGACAGTGCATGCCCTCCAGAACGCTGCATAATTTCAGCCTAAATTTGGTCCCAGCTGGGCAGCTTAATTCTGGACCTTCAGCCAAAGCCTTGATTGTACTTTACCTTTATGACTCGCATTTGGTATTCAGGGCCAATGTCAATTCATCGCCGAAGTCTCAAATGCATTGCCTTTAATTTGCCTCAACTGTGTAGCAGTAATTCTTTATTATTTATTCTGTGCTGGAATCCATTAAGTGTAAGGGAGACAATCACAAGCATATCTGAATTTCAAAAGGACGCTTGTCACATATATCGTGTCATCTTTGCTGCAGTCTCCTTTACTGAAGGCTGTTAAGCAACTGGCCCAAATGCAGGCTGTATTAATAAGAGTCGATTGCCTAGGTCTTGGGGAGAAGTGGTACATGTGAGTCATACCCCTATGCAATATGGGGCATGGCGCTGAGAATCATCCCTTGAAAAGAATGTGCACTAAATGGAATATATGAAGATTAGACAGGGACACCACTTCATGAAAGGGGTGTTGAAGGACACCAGTTCTGACGGCTGTTAGGGGAAGTCAGGTTTTTTTCCCTCACTGTGTGATTCTACCTCACAATGAGGAGGACTCTTGGTCAAGGGCACCGTGAGATCAAAATCCTGGGGAATGGAACAACTGTTAGGACAGACAAAGAGAGCGAAGATGTGGACATCCCTGTAGTTAGATCTCAAAGAACACGTTCCCATGATGGAGAGTATGTCCTGCCTCCTCTTGTAATTTGCTAAGATAATGAGAGGAGTCTGGGCTTTAGCATGATCCCCCTGGGATAGACTGTGCTGGGGCAGAGAAGAAAGGAAGCTTGGAATGTGCAGTGTGCACTCTGCTGTCTCCAGACCTTAGGACAGAGATTCTACAGAGACTCCAGCTATTTCTCTTGCTCTCTATTTTTTTGGTGGGGGTACGGGAGGGTATTATTATTTTTCTTCGCTTCATCTTGCTCTCTGACTATGATACTGAAAATAAAGATGATGTGTGGGCCTAACGCAAGGATCAGACCTGGTGGACATGTGAGTTGAATCAGGCCTGAAATACATTAATAATAAGGACCCCACAGACAGTAACAGGACTAATTCATTCTAAGAGCAAATGAAAGGGAAGGAGAAAAGAGAGAGGGTTCCTAGGGTGGTGACTGACCACTCCACCTACCTGATCTTGAGGAGCCTATAAGAAAGAAAGGAACCATTAGACCTCTTATTTATCAGCAGACCTTTGTATGAGTAGAACCATTATATTAACTTGTCATATCTTAAACTTTGGCCCCATAATGTCTTTGAGGTGGAGAAGTCTGGCTGAGAACGCTGAGACATAGATTAACTGATTAACCTATGTGGGCCAGATAATTCATGACACCGTTGGGACCAGAAGCCAGATCTCCTGATAATCAGCCCCACCATCTTTCCTCTAAGCTAGACCATCCTGCTGTGATGTAGCTGGACTATAGTAAGATAGTTACAGAGCTCTGAAATGCAAGATTTTCCCCAAAGCATCTTATAGGTGTGATTCCATGGCACACTTGTACCTGCCAGGCTGTGCCTATGGATACAATGAATAACAGGAATAACTATATTTGGTTACATATACATACTACTCCATCTACTCTACACACACACACACTCACATATTCTGGGCATTGTTCTAATTAATGTGCACAGCCCTTAATTCTCACAATAATCCTATGTGGTTGGTGGAATTAATCTCATAGCTCCAGAAACTAAGGCATACAGACACGAAGAAACTTGCTTAAAACCTCACAGCAAGTAAGTAAAAGAGTTAGAATTCAGTCCTCCCTCTCTGACTCTGGTAGCATATTTTGTGTTCTTAACCATAGCTCTAAATGAAGAGTGTTATTTATTTTTTGAAACACAGGGTGTTTTAAATAACTTGCATTTATTTAATTGGGAAGGCATTCTTGAATTCTGCCTGATCCCCTATGTTCTTATACTCTAAAGCCTCACTTCCCTGAGAGTTCTACTTGACACCGTAGGCATTTGCATTTTTAAAGCCCTGGCTAAGTGCAGGCAGCAAGGAGGTACTTGTGCCTTGTTTGTTTGCTTGTTTGTTTTATGCTCAGGTCGTAGGGCCAGTGTGAAAATTTAGGCTTCACATCTCAGTCTAACTTACTGCCTCAGTCCAGGCAGTGGCTAATCACATAGTGCTCTCATCCCCTCACTCTGACTCAGAGAACCCCCTCCCCCATTGCTCTAGGGAACTCTTGTCACACTGGGCAGTGGTAGATGCCTTTCTAATTTGGAATCCTGGGCATTTCCTGACATTTATCCTACAGAGATGCAGGGGAGATATACACTCTAGTTCATTTATTCCTTCACGGACTTCCCACTGCCCAGTATCAGAATCTATAAAGAGCAAGGAAAAGAGACAGGATGCTGTGCCTTCTAAACATGATAAGGAAAAAGAGATTCAAAAACTGTCTTACAGTTTTTGATGGGCAATCTAGATCTGTGAGGGAATCGGGTTGTCCAGATTTCTCAGGCAATCTAACCAGAAGTTAGATTCTGTCTAAGTTTAAGGATGAATCTCTTAGGAATTCAGGGGTTATAACAATAGAGCAAATGCCTTGAGTGAGAGTGGATTCCTTGTCATAGGATGTCTTCAAACAGAATTAAATGACAATTCCTTGGAGAAAGTATAATAAGAATACTGGCAGTGGATGAGGGAGAAAAATAACCTCTGAGTTTCTTTCCAAGTCTAAGATTTTGTGATTCTCTATTCCATTCCTGTATAGTCTTACATTTTTCTTTCTTTCTGTTAGGGCTGCATTTACAGCCTTTAAAATACTTCTATAAGGAATGAAGAATTGGTATTGGTACAGCTTGTTCCCAGTGTGATCATGGTATTAGGCCACTGACCTAATTGCCAGTGAATAATGTGGGCACCTTGCTTCATGAGGAGCTAAGGATATTCCTAATAAGACTTTGATAGACTTCAGGGAGAAATACACCTCCGAAAATACTAATGGAATTTTAGAATACCTACAGCTTGGGGCGGGGGGGGGGAGTAGCAAACATGGTAAAGGGTTAACTAGGGAAAGTCCTTCTCTGGAAGGGTTTTCTAAGATTGATTCACACTTCTCTGAGATGAAGTTAAGAGTTTTCTGTTAGTACAGGTTTCTTAACCTTTCTTTGATTTAAGACACCTCTGGGAATCTGGTGGAAATTATGATGAGAGGATCACTCTTAAAAGGAGTCCTTTTTGTTCTCCCCAGGAGGAAGAAAATGCCCACGACCATGTCATACAAAATGGTTCCAATTTCAGCACTGTGGGTTAAGAAGCCGGGGGGTGGAGACAGGCGAATGAACTGCATAAATGCTGAACAAAATCCTTGGCTTGCAAATCTATTGAATACGGGTGTACAGTCCAGAGGAGAGAAGAGCAGTGGGACGCAGAGTCATTCTTCCAAGTCTCTTCCTGGCGGGGGTTCGGTTTAGCATGCTTGGAATTCCTCTTTGCACTTTACCGTTTTTCTTGAAATTTCTCCAACTAGAGACTTATTCGGGTTAAGTCGTTGCTGTCTTTTCAAATGAAAACATGTCCTTTTTCCTAAAGGAAGAAAAGAATTTCCATTTCTGGGATGGGAGATTAGAGAATGAGAAGGAGGCATTTGAGGTTAGAGAGTCTTCGGGAGAGTGAAGGTGCTCCCTTCGGCTGGAGTTTTGGACAGCAGGTAACTTCTCAGAGATACAGCTGTTGGAGGAGAACGGGCATATGAAGGAGGAGAGGGCCCAGAGAAGGCAATGAGATTTTCTAAAGATACACTTAAATTTCACAAAATTTTATTGAGTGATGGCTCTGCCTTCTGCATGGTACCGTGGAGTTCCCCTTCAAACTTGTCATTTCACAACTATTTGCAGAGCATCTACCATGTGGCAGTAATATTTCACGCATGGGAGAGACATATTCAGACAACGTCTGTTCTACCTTTAAGGATCTGGACTGAGAACAGAGACACAACAAAGAAGGACAACAACGTGTCATAGATATGGGTATAGTTTGTTCCAGGTAGACTGAAGCAAAGAAGGAAAGAGTGACCAATTCTTTCTGGGAGGGAGGGTCACAAAAGGCTTCATGAAGATATTAAAACTTGAGTTGGGTCAAGAAAGATAAATCAGTGTTTTCCAGGCAGACATTAGGTTTTTGTTTAATAAAATTAGAGTTTCTTTTATTGTTCCTTATTTTCTCCATTTTATTTCCATTGCATGTGAAATACACATAGTTTTTCCCATTCGGTTCCCCTTCCTACACTTTCATTATGTGTCCTTCTGGGCTCCTCTATAGTAAAAATTTAAAAAAAGAAATCAAATTTAGATTTGTGCTAAGTCTAAGGCCGTCAATCTACAGTGAAATCATGTGGATACAAAATCCAAATAGGGCCCCCAGGTCACCTTCCCGTGGTGGCTCTTCAGCTGCCTTCCAGCACTGAATGGTTTGTCTGACTTTGCTTCAGCATTTCCTTTTTATCAAATCTTTTTTTTTTTTTTAAATACATACATTCATAAGGATGCACTTTCTGCATTTGTGATTGCACACACCTTGGATGGAATAATGATGAACCCAGACACTTTACATTTTGAACAGACTGACTCAAGGGAGACAAGGGTAAGGAGGAATCCAGAGAGGGACCGTCTTCAAAGTACAAATGTCAACAGCTGCTAACTGGGACTGGTTTGACCCTAGACTACTCTCTGCCTTTGCTGCTTTCTTGCAGAAGACTTTCAAAGTTTAGTGCTGCCTCTTACCATGCCCTCTCTGACACCAGCATATATGTGAGTTCCTCAGAGCAGCGGGGATCCTGATAAACAGGTTGAGAAAAGCACACCTCTGAGGACATCACCGTGACCACTTCAGTCTCTGGGCTTGTGTCAGGCAACACTTTGCTGCTATTGAACTTAAAAT